CATGATAAACACAAGACCGCGACATCCGCTCGTCAGTATCCCGACGTGCAAGCTCTGAAAGTTTGACACCAACAACCGTGCATCCAAAGGGGAGCTGAACCCCCCAGCGCCAGTCCCCTTCCTTAATCTGACAGTGCGCCGCACGAGGACGAGGCTCTGCGGGACGCCACAGGCCGTCAGTTCCGGCGTCTGCCCGCCGGCGCTCCGCACCTGCGTCTCCTCCGGCTGCCACTGTTCCAGCGAGTCGGGGGGCTGGACTGCACGCTCAGGGTGGCAGCGTCTGCACGAACTCGGGCATCCAGCCGCACGCGGCACTGCACACAGGTCCGTCTTGAATCAGCGTCACGCCCTGCTCGGTGCACGGCAACCGGACGATGTTGAGGGCGGCCTCCTCCTCCAGCGCTGGCGGCGTGCAGGGCAGCTTGGAAACCGCGCTTATCGTCGACAGGGGACAGGGTCAGCTGGACAGTATTCCGGCTGATCGACTAAGACTCGGAAAACATTTACAACACAGTAATGCTCCTCGCACTGTAGAGCAATCGTGACACAACATTCACTAACTTTTCAAACAGCGACGAAGCGCATATATGATTATCATACAATTCGCAGAGCTACTGCGACATAAACTTAGCATGCTACTTCAAATGGGTCAGGAAGGCCAGAACCAATTGATCATACTATCTATGCGACTCGGACGCCGCAGGACATCTCGATCATTCATTGCTCATCATCTTCGCTTATCCCAGCCCAAACCACAGACGCCATCGACCACCGCATCAGCATGTCCCCACACCAGGACATTACGAACCGAAAATCCTCTCGTCCCACTAGCCGCGACGCCTCACCTTGCGCAGGTGCGTGCGCAGGTACACGCAGCCGAGGTAACGCTCCAGCGGCGACACCTGCATCACCCTCGGGCGGCGCGCGCAGCGTGCTGGCCGGCACGGGCGCGCGCGTGCACAGCGCGTCGAAACGACTCGTGCGTGAGCATGACGGGCGCGGCTGCCGGCCGGAGCCGCGCCGGCGCCGCCTTGGTCACGGCCGGCGAGCCGGCCAGCGCCGGCGACATGAGCGGCTGTGCGGCGAACGGGCTCATGGCGCCGGCCGCCGCCGGGCTGTGGCCCACGTGGCTGGGGCTCGGCGCCGGCAGGAAGCCGGGCGAGGGCGCGTGCAGCGGCGCGCCCGGCGAGTTCGAAACGAGCTGTTGCGCCGGCGGCGGCGGCGCCGGTGACGGCTGCAGCGGGCTGGCTGGCGTGTGCGGGTTGGAGAGCGAACCGGGCGTCATGGGGTGCGCGAAGCGCGCCTCGCGGCCGGCCGCCGGCGAGCCGGCCTTGAGCGCGCCGGCCGGCGGCGGCAGCGCGGCCGGCTCCAGGTCGAGACTGGTCGGCGACGGCGGCGTGTCCTCCTCGCCGCCGCCGCCGGCGAAGGCCGGGTCGGCCGCGTACTTGACGAGGAATGCAGCCAGGTTCTGCAGGGGGTGCAGCTCATCCAGCGGGCCGGCCGCGGTCCAGCACGCAGAATGCGCCGTCACGCACCGACACCAGACCATCGCTGTGCAGCTGCACCGACAGGCAGTACGTCTTGCGGTAGACGAGCCGCACGTGCCAGGCCGACTGCGGGCAGCAGGATGAAGTTGATGATTGGGTCGAGTGGGCCGGTCACCACGCACGCCCAGCCTCGGGGTGGCCGACAGCTTGTCGAGCGACACCAGCGGCGAGTACGTCTCGTCCAGCGCCACCATCAGCTGCGCCAGCGACCGCTCCGCGTTCAGCAGGTCCTCCAGCTGGCCGCGCAGCACCCGCGTGCGGGTTGGTGGCGCTGCTTGACCTGGGGAGAAGGAGCGCGTTGATCCATGGGAACTCAGTTACGGTCCTGATGTAGAACTGGCAGCCTATGATTTGGACTGATAAGCCACATCTGTGGCTTTCAGCAAGCCTTTTGATAAAAATTCAACACACAACATTTAAAGCTGTGACCACAGAACGACTAAAACTGAACCGCATATTCCGGAGATACCCGACAGGTATCGATCCCCGTGAACCACCACCCTCAATACTAGGAGCCAACGAAAAGCGTCATACCAAGGGCATGGAAAAATATTGCACACGTGGGGTAGCATTCAAAACACTTGTTTTCTCGGAATACGTAGTACCCGCTAGCGACTCGATACGATGTCCGCTTCCCCGACTGTCTTCATCTGGCGCCCCACCAGCCGGTGTCACGCACCTGGCATTGATGCCGAAGCTGAGCTTGAACCGCTTCTCATCGCTGCTGTGCTCCACGCGCACGGTGGCGCCCTTGTTCGGGCCGTAGGCGAGCGTGAGCGCGCGGTACGTGAACGACGAAACCTCTGTCAGATGAGTGAGGCCGCGCTGCCGGTCTTCGGCCACGAAATGCTGGAAGGCCAGCAGCAGCGCGTACAGCTCGGCCATCTGGCGCCAGTCGGCCAGCAGCCGGTCCACCACGTCCGACACGGCCTCTTGTCGACGGCTGCCGGTACCAGAAGTAGACGGGCCGCCGGCTGGCCTGCTCGCCGCGGCTGCTGCGAGCGTGCCGGCGCGCCATGGAAACACGTACTCCACGGCCCAGCGGCTGCCCAGCTTGTCCTCCTGTTGTGTAATGGTGGCCGAGAGCAGCGCCGCCTGGAGGCGCTCCATGGCCGCCGCGTCCACGCCCGCCACTGCCGGCAGCTCCATCAGGCGAATGTACCGCGACTGGCCGCTGTGGGAGGGAGGCGAGGTCAGCTGACGATAGCGCCGACACGCCCGGTCCCTAGGCGGCGGACGCAGCAGCGGTGGGACGGAGCCGCTGATGTACACAAGCGTAGGACATGTGATGGACACACAGGACGGTGATGTACACAATCACAGAAGGAAGTTATTAAAATGATTTGGGAGCATGAGGGGAAGGGAATGGAAGTGCAACGAGATCGAAAAGCAAGTGCGATAAATACGAACGCGAAATGCAGGAGCGCATGATCGGGGACAGATAGTCTTGAGAAGCACAGAAGTCCACGTACAGCAGCCCTGACAACGACCGGAGCAAAGCTGACCAGACCAGACCAATCGCATGCCGCATTTGATAATGCGCGCAACGCACGCTTAACAGACGGCGGCACCGCTGTTGCCCAACATCACACTTCAGTGCACATCGCGTCTCCGTCCCGGCCACCTCGCCGGCCTCCTGCCCACGTCGGAGACGCCCGCCCTCCGGCGGCACGCACCTGGGGTCGACCGCAGCGCCACCGTGCGGCACGTGCTGTCGGCTGAGCTCGCGGCACAGGGCCGCGCACGGGATCTGCTCGTCGCAGAGCGCCACCACCTGCGCCAGCTCGCTGATGAAGTAGGCGGGTGAGGCGCGCGGCCCGCGGCCCGGCCATGCGCGAAGGCGAGCCGGGTGCAGAGGGAGCGCGCGCGCGCCGCGGCCCCTCGGCCGCCTCCAGCGCCGTGCCCGGCCCGTGCAGGCAGAGGAACGTGTCCAGCTCGACGAACGTCAGCACCTGGCAGGGGGTGGAGGCGAGCGTCGAACCGCGTTACGCACAGGCGAGGGGGTGGGGTGCAGTCAAAAGCCTCGCCGCAAACGTGGAGAGCGGTTTAAATATCTGCTCACGGACACAGTTGGCCGGTATCCCAACTGAACTCTACAGCAACACGCTGCCCATGGCGAAGCAACGCCCTGCTCCTGACAACGATAGGCCTCGCTCCAAAGTACGTCCCGCGCACAGCGTAGACACGATAACCCATTTTACAGCTGCATGACGCCATGCCAAGATAGTTGTTCATTGTCTTTGCACATACACTTTGTACTTGCTGAGATACCAAGGGTTTCAGTCATGCGGCTGTACTTCTGCTGAGCTGGAATAGTCTGAAATCAACTTCACTGGTACAATGCTTAGTCCCTCCCCTTCCATCCCACTTAGCCAGCGCAAGCGTCTATAATCTCAAGCCCCCCCCCCCCGCCATTCACCTTGAGATACTTCTTCGGCAGGTGGCGTTCGTTGGCGTCGTCCGAGCCATCCTCGATGCTGGACGGCTTAACGGTGACCATGTAGAAGCTGTACTCCATCTGGTTGGGACATGCGGCCCGCTCCTGGCACACCACCACCAGCACGCGGCTGGGGGAAGCGGTGCAGACGTACGTACAGCTGCTGCGCCGGCAACCGGCCCAGTGCGTGGCCCTCGCGGTAGGAGAGCGGCAGCGACTCATGCGCCGAGGCCGGCAGGTGCTGCAGCGTCTTCTCTGCTCGGCGCAGCGTCACCCAGAATCTGGCGGCGGTGGTGCGGCGTTAACAGCCAACATCGGGCGGCGACGAGCGGCGCCACAAGCACGAGCCAGACGCGGACCCGAGGCGCCAGCACAGAGGCTATAGACCGCAGCCGCCGAGTAACGCGACAGCTCTTAACATTCACCGTCAATAATTCTGTCGAAGTTAGCAAGTCCTTTACCCACATTGCAAAATCCCTAACCGTCGTCAGGCAATTCCCCCAGAGCCACCGACAACCGGAGTGGGCCCGACTTGAGCAGCTCCGCTCGCCTCCCAACCAGTCAGCGAGCGCCCGCGGCGCCTACCTGAGCCTGGTGAGCAGCTGCCTCAGCGTGGAGCGGTCACCGTTGAGCGCGGCCGTCACCTCCTCGCAGACGGGCGTCTCGTAGAGCGGCACGTGCGCCGTCAGCGTGCCGCGGTGCACGTCCACGGCCACCAGCAGCTGCTCGCCCTTGAGGCACGGCTGCAGCAGCGGTACGCTGAGCACGGCCGGCGAGCCGGCCAGCGCCAGCTGCTCGGGCTCCAGCTGCACCAGGCGCGCCAGCTCGCCGCGCGTCTCGGCCAGCACGGCGCGGCTGCGCAGGTGGATGGGTGTGCACGAGCAGACGCTCGATCGAGAGCCGATCGGAGCGGACGGCGCGCTCGGGCCTGCTCGGCCGTGCGGCTGTCGGGCAGCGGCGGCGAGTGGGTTGACGAGCAGCGGGCCGGCCCGGCGTCGCCGGGTCCGTCTGTAGCGTCACGCGTAGCCCGGCTCCGAGCGCGCCTCTCGGCCCGTCACCTGTCGCCCGGCAGGAGCCCGTCACACATACACACCAGGGCAGCGCGGCAACGCAGGACACGTGACGCAGACGGCACGTATCGGCTGATGTTGGCGGTGGCCGTTTGATCGTCGCTCACTCGTGATGTTTGCCTTCGGAGGAAACGAGTACACGAGAATCCCGTGAGAAAAGATTGCGTTTGGGGCTTGTTCACTCAATTCCACCTCAGAAAATGTATCCACCGTCCACACATCGCACGTCCCTGACAGCAGCCCGTCCCCTGGTGCGGTGAGGTGTGGCTTGAACTTCCGAGATCTGACTCGCCGCAGCCGCTGTGCCCTGAGCTCACCTCCCGCCAGTATGAGACGGCCAGCAGCCGGCCGGGCTGGTACTCGTGCACGCGCACGTTGTCACCTAGCCGATCTCTGCAGAGCTGTACCACCTGCGAGTGCAGCACCTCCAGCTGCAGACTCTGACTGAACGAGTGCAGGATGGTGTAGATGTCGTACAGAGGTCGCGCCGAGTCGGCCAGGTACGAGCTCACCAGCTGGTGCAGGTAGTGCACCTGCAACACCGGCCACCGGAGCAGTCAAACGGACACCAAGGCATCGACACCAGCTGGTCCACATAGTGTACCTGCGACATGGAACATGGGGGCAGTCAGACGGATATCAAGACATCAACACCAGCTGGTGCAGGTAGTGTACCTGCAACATGGGACAGTGGGGCAGTCAGACTGACACCAAGATATCGACACCTGACACCGTCAGACCAGCTTCGGATGGAACCTGTATGCAGGTATCGACCCAGCCAGCAAGCTAAGTACTACAAGAAGTACTCGTTATCCTCACGTTATACAAAACAGACCGCGCGGTCCACTTCGCAAAAGGCGGAGTCCACTCCACGGAACACAACACATCAGACATGAATGGTGTGAGTTACAGACAGACGCCAGAGTGCCGTACCTGCAGCGGATGCACCAGACTCTTGCCCTCGCCGGTCTCCTTGTCCTCCACCAGGATCTCGATCTCCAGCAGGGTCCAGGGCACGGTGGGACCGTCACCCATCAGGGTCAGCGACACCTGGTGGCCGTCAGGGGCAGCTGACAGCGCGGCCGAATGACGGCCGGGGGCGGCCGGGGGACAGCCGGGGGGCGGCCGGGGGACAGCCGGGGGACAGCCGGGGACGGCCGGGGGACGGCTGGGGGACGGCCGGGGGCGGCCGGGGGCGGCCGGGGGACGGCCGGGGGACGGCGAGGTGCCGGACAGAGCGCCGGCTGGGCGAGACCGGCTCGCGGTACTCGGCACCGCTGGGCATGCGCGCGCACCTGGACCGAGCCCGTACGAGCCGCAGCCGGTATGGAGACAGCTCCCACCGCGACACACAGCGGTCCGGGTAGGTCGACGCCGGCGTGGCTACCACGCCGCTTCACTTACAGCTGGGACACAGTGCGTGCGTTCCACCTGTGCCGCTGGTGCACTTAAGACGCGACTCCGCACGATACGACGCGTGACTCTCATGCCCGCCAGCAATGGCGTCAGCAGAGCCGGGCCGCGTTCTCGGTGCGGCGGCGGCGGCGGCGGAGGCGGCGGCGGGCATCGCTCTCACCTGGAACTCGTGCTCGACGGTGATGCGCACGCGGCCGGCGCCGATCTTCAGCTGCAGCATCTGCGGCGGCAGCTCTGACGTCACCAGCCGGTGCTCGATGATCTGGTTCAGCCGCTGCAAGCACGCCATGCCCGCGGCGGTGACAGGGGACGCGCGCGGAGTCGCACGGCGACACAATGGAGGCGGTGAAGACGTCAACAACCAACACAGATCGTAGAAACGATAAGGGGAGAGGTCGAAGTGACCTTAACACATACTGTTGCAAGTGCTTTGCGCTATCAATCAGCTTTGGTTGCAATCTTCTCCACCCACTGTCGGAGGTTGGAAAGCAGCCAAAGCTGGGCGTGCGCACGACTGCGCGGCATCAGGATTCAAGAGGACGACTAATTAGCACACCTGTCATTTCGCACG